GTTGTCTGCTTGTTTTTAAAGAAAAGGGGACAGAAAGGGCATGGAATTGGATAGATAGGAAGGTGGGGAAGATCTGGGAAGAGCCTGGGGAAGGGGAAATGTGTGATTAAGATATATTATATGAAAAAAATAAAATAAATAAATTTTAAGGCTAAAAGTTAAAATGAAATAAAACGGGGAAGAAACAAAACGGTGAGTTGTAACTGCATCTCTGGGGAGACAGACAGGCTGATTCCCTGGGTTTGCCAGCAGCTACTTAAGCCTCCTCAGTGAGTTCCAGGCCAGTGAAAAGCTCTGCCTGACAAAGAAAAATGGACTACTCCTGAAAAATGGCACCAAGGTTGGCCTATGAGCTTCGTATAAACACATAAACACATACATACACATGGCTTGTGTTGGATGATTTCACCTAATTACAGGTTAACCAGCATGCCAAGGTAGGCCAGCCTAAGTTATAATGTTCACTAGATTATGTGTATAAATGCACATTCTCCTTGTAATATTTTCAACTTACCATGAGTTTATTCAGCTACAACCGCATCACAAGATGAGAAGCATCTGTAGGACTCCGAGTCCTAGACTCAACTTTTCCCTCAGCCATCTCCTAAGTTCTCTTCAGTACCCATCCACCACCTCAGCATGGATAGTGCTACCCATCCGTTCACCAGCAACTCGTACATGGGAGCCCAGAACCCGCCACATCTACAGCTTCATCAGTATTGAAACTGTTGGTTCACTCAAGGTGTCTCCTGTAGTCATCAATGCCTCCCACCAATGCATCCCTCCCTGCTCCTCCACACGTCCCCGAACTCTACTAGCCATCCTTTTATTGCTTAGTGGCCTCCCATTCATTTAAATTCTCCTACACCTCTTTTCCACACTCTCCCACAAGAGAATCTCCTTCCACGGTGCCATACCAAAGCCCATGCTGTTAAGGACAAGCTCTCTTTTTCCTCTCCATTTCTCAGAAGCTGTCTTAGCTACCAGTGACACCGTATCATTCTTCAGGGCTGTGTCTTATTTTTCTTCCTATCAAGATTGCCAAAAGGAAGGGTAAACACGCTGTACTGTTTCACCAAATGAGTGTTAAATGATTATTATTAAGCAAAAAAAAAAAAAAAAAAAAATGTGGAGTCACCCCAAAATCATTGTTTCTATCTCTTCTATCTCTGCTTAGAGAAGTCATACATAAATATGCTGGTCTAGAAATAAGACTTCTAGACCTTTGACGTTTCAATGGTGCTTCCTACAAAGTATATCTGACACTGAAAGTAAATTAGTCTTTGCAAACCCTGTTGCTCATCACTCTTACAAAGGGGTCAGTTGCCTTCCCTAAGGAAGTGTAAATGCAACATTCACACTTGCTGCCTGAGCACTATTTACACACCCAATTCACCCTACAGTTTCTGGGCTATATTTCATTCCTGGCTTCATGAGGGAGAGTGGGTTTCTTACTTTTTCTCAACTTAAATTTTAGCTGATCAGTGATGTTAGGTTTGCAAAGAGTTCAATGATAAGTAGGCATATTATCATGCAAAGTTTTATTCATGAGACAACTAAAATGTTGCCTGCACAGGGGAGAGCCTGTGTAAGAAAGCTGTAAATCTACTGTGAGCTATGGATGGGACAGAGTGCAGAATGTTCTCCCCCAGAGTGGCCTTCCAGATGAGTGAATACACTTAAAAACAAAGGCATACGGGAAATGGTCTGACATGCCCACATATTAGCTCTGTAAGAGAATACAAAGACCTAAAAAGACTTTCTTGGCTCTTTTCACATGCCTGAAGGCGATAAAGACCACCACCAGGTATGTTCCCTTATGTACTTGTATTTGCTTAAGCGAACTATAAATGTCACCTCATGTTTGCCTGCACTAATAATAAAAATAAAAGTGCTTTGTCTGCACTGCACGGGTTCAAATGCTTAAGAGTCCCCTGGCTACCCTACACAGACCTTTGGCATTTCCGTCAATCCTCAGAGACTGGCCTGGGTAGGTGCTGTAATCCAGCACACCTGGCCACGCCCCTTAAGGACCTGGCACAGTGCCCACCCCTGCAAGCAAGGCAGGCAGTACCCTGGCTCTGTACACAAGTGCAGAGGTTCCTTTAAGAGACAAGCTCTGCCCCCCTCTCTCTCTCTCATCCTCTCTCTCTCTCTCCCTCCCTCCCTGCCATTTCTCTGAAGCAAACAGATCTCTGTCTCTGTGTGTGTCTTTCTTTTCTGGCTCTCTCTCCTTTCCTTCTCTCGCCTCTTGCTCTCTCCCTTCCTCCACTCCCTTCCCTTCCCCAATAAAGCTTCCTTCCCATGTAAGGTCTGCCGACAGGGTATTTGTCCCTCCGTGACGTGAGACGCTTCTAAGGTCCCTCTCGCACTATATTCATGCCAGTGGGACAACAACACAGCTTCTCAGATTCCTCTAACATTTACTCTGTGGGAAGAAGGTGGAAAAGACAAAGAAAACATGGCCCATGGTGGGGATGTACGGTGGACAGGATGAAGATTCAGACACGCAGGGAGCAGGTGAGTTAAGCAGATTTGTAGGAGAGTAACGGTAGTGAAAGCAGCTACATTCAAAGCCAGTGAGCCCAGTACTCCACACAGGAAGTGGTAGCACCGTGAAGGACACTGGGACGAAGCAGCCACATTCTGAGAGCTCACGAGAAGGCAGAAATCTGAAGTTTTTAATAAAAACATCACACCAGCACTGGCAAGGGTTTCCGTTGCTTTTGGCATGGCCGTGGTAAGGTCAGCAAAGCTGGGAGGGGAAAGCTCGCCTTAGCCGACAGCTGGGGCTACAGTCCGTCCACAGCAAGGGTGGCAGCAGAAGCAGCTCATGACTGTGGCCCTGGGAGCCTACTCACATTCTTCCATATCAGAGACAGAAATCCTCAAGTTCTACCCATGGCAACCGACTTCCTCTAGCAACAAAAGGTTTCATAGTCTCCCAAAACCACACGTGCGAGTGCACACACACACGCACACACACACAGAGAGAGAGAGAAGTAGCTTATATTAAACCCATAACAAGTGGTTCAAATTATGAGAAAACTCTTTGCCAATGAAATAAAACATGTGATTTCTAGTATGTATTATACTAAGCTGGAGGAACATCCAAAGACATCTACAACAATACTATATTCCTAAAACTGAATCTCTGCTTTACAACTTTTAGTAATCAGATTCCCATGTTAATCTTCTTCATCTGAATAATGATAACCGCATGAGGATGAACAGCTCAGATGTGTGCTGGTAAGATAGCTGACTGTGCTTAGTATGCAAGTTTAAGGACCCAAGTTCCAATCCCCCAGCACACACAGAAAAGCCAGGCATGGTGGAGACTGCAACCCCAGTGCAGGAAGGTAGACACAGCAGGATCCTAGGAGCCCACACATCAGTCATTCTAGCCAATCAGTCAGCTCCAGCTGCAGTGAGAGACCCTACCTCAAAAGAATAAGCTGGAGAGTAAAATAGAAAGAAACCCAGCCTTGGTGTCAGGCCTCCATGCTTGCACATATTCAAAGAAAAAGAAAAAAAACTATATTAAACTTAATTATAATAAATTACATTAAAGCAGGTATCATTTTAAAATTCATATTGTCATCACTAAACTTTAAAAGGTTAAATGGTACAAGAATTCAGAGTTGGTTGGGGCAGAATGAAATGCAGTTACTGTGCATTAGAAGAAGGCGAGCTACGTAAGGGAGGCTGGATGAACATTCCTTACAGCCCGGAAATTTGGTGCCTAGCCAGCCAAAGAACAGGAATGAAGAAACCTGCCAGTTGAAGTAGGGCTGGTGAAACAGCGCCCCCTACTGCCTACTGAGCTGATGTACGCTACTAGTTTTATAATGCAATTCCCACGGGATCTTTAGTAAAATCTATATTTCCTCATTTTTCTTAATCCAGTGGGGAAGGGAATGAAGCACTGTATCCCCACTTGAGGCTGGTCTAACACAGTTCCGCAGGAGACCAGGAGAGCTGGCCAAACTCCACACTACACAGAAAGATCTGCATTCCCCTTTGTGTGAACATTTGAACCTCGGCAAAACCTGAGGAAAGACAACCCCACGCAGGCTCTGAGAGCACGGAAATCCTCCTTAAGACAGGATTGAAGTGTTTTAGGGAACAAAACTCAAGACTACATCTGAACCCGCTGTTCCAAATGATCTTCGGAAAGTAAACGATGACTTCCTGAAGGTCTGTAATGAGGATTTCAACAAACCGGTCCAATACAGGCGTTTTCCAGAACTGATGTGGAGAGTAGTTACTTTGGCTGAAGAACTTGAAATATTTACAAAAATTTATCTCCTTTCTTTCATGCTACTTTAAAAGCATATAAACCGGGTTGTCTTCAAGTTCAGTTCTGTGTGATGGTGTCTCACTGGAAATTATGCATTTCAGTCAGAGAGGGCAGGCTCCTGTGAAATGCATCCCCTTCCAGAAGGTGGGAGGTGGCCTGTCCGGTTAAGATGATCCTTTCTGGTGCGCACTTGCCTCCTGGGAACTGAATGGAGTTGGTCTCACCGCACACCCCTGACAGCATTCACGCATGCACACAGAGCCATGCACACGTGTGTTTTCTTGACAGAAGAACAGAAGACTTGAACATCGCAGGCCACCTACACTTCGCCTTCCTATGGTGAAGCTTCCAGAGCCGGGTCACCTTACAGGCAGCTGCCATGATAGCCCTGCTGGGGAGCAGTACAGCCATGTGCTCCTCCCTAAAGAAACTGCTTTCCTTATGTTCATAAAATAAAATTAAACTGAAACAAATTTTCGGTGGACATTCCAAGACGTCATTATGACCATGTGTAAAACATACAAGTATAGAAGCTGAGAGAGGAAAATTCTCTACACATTTTCCACTGAACCACTACTAAAACAAAACAAAGAAAATAACACAACATGGTATTTTAGAAAACTAACCTGAAATATTTATTGTAGAAAGTGGTGTTAAGAAATCAAAAATAAAGATACTGAACAATGTCAACGGCACTCACCAATCACAATCGAAGCCTCGCAGTGGTAATAACCATTGCTTTGTTTCTTCTTCAGCATGGAGCAGAGATCTATCTGGTGCAGTATTTCTTCTCCAAATCTGTGGTTGATGAACTGTTCATACAATGCGGGCTCTATTTTTTTCACTCCCTTAAAATGACAAAACAAAATCATGTCAATCAATCATTTCGCTGGGCAGCAGTCCATGTTTCTATCAGTCTCTCAGGACCCGAGATGACATTTCGGAGTCAGACTGCCTCTTGGCACCTGGAAGGAGATGCCACGATATTGCTGTGGAGCTGTTTTTAAAGTCTCCACGCCTGGGATGGGCTGTTTTTAAAGCCATCGATGAAGAGTGCTAAATTGGTGTGGCAGCACTTGGAACCTCGCACATCTTTTGGTTTCAGAGCTACGAAAGCATGTGATGATTCAGTAGCAAGGACAGAGAAATCATTTGCAACGACAGATGTGTGTGTGGGTGAACAACTTTACAATGAGGACAAAGTTCTACCACTAACTCGTATTAGTTAAACCCTTACATAAAAAAATCACCTGACGACAAAGCGGACTTGAGCTAGGACAGTTAAGACCAGTGCCTCTTCTGTATCTGCAGCGGTCTCTCCTTATTGTCAATACAGCAGAGGCAGCTGGATGTTGAAACCTGCAGAGAGGTGCTCTCTGTACTACTGTAGTTTCCCAGCAGCAAATGACACCCTCCTCCTCCAACACCATGCAGGGTTCTGACACCTCAGCCTGAGTCCCAAGACACAGTCTATAAGTTTCACTTTTTTTTTTTACTTTTTAATAATAAAAATTTTCCTTTTTGCTAATAAAAATTTATAGAAAATTTTAAATAAGGACAGGAAACCATGTGATTGTGTTCTGTTTCATTTTTGCTATGCACATGAAAATAACTTTTAACTTTTCACCTGAATTTTTATAGTTTTTCAAGACAGGGTTTCTCTGTGACTGTGGCTTTATTCTCAGTACTTCTTGAAAATTGGTTCTATTATTTCAGCAAGTATGCAAGTCAATAACAATATACAGATTTGCAAAATGGGTTGTCTCTATGTGCTCCACTGTATGAAGTATCATGTTATTTATCCAACAGGCTGCTGCCTTAATATTTAATGGTATGGTAAAACATGCTTGTGTTATGTTTACACTGGCCTTCTGCTCTTAACTGCTACACTCACACACACACACACACACACAGAGAGAGAGAGAGAGAGAGAGAGAGAGAGAGAGAGAGAGAGAGCCCTTCCCAATTCAGTTTGGTAATTCTATTCTATCTGCACAGGCTGGACACTTTGGGGATATCCTTGATAAAATCCAATACCCCCTCACAATAAAAGTCCCAGAGAGATTCGGGATACAAGGGACATACCTCAAAATAATAGAGGCAATTTACAGCAAGCCTATAACCAACATCAATGTAAATGGAAAGAAACTCAAAACATTTCCACTAATCTGGAATAAGACAAGGTTGTCTGCTCTCTCCATATCTACTCAATATAGTACTTCAAGTATTAGCTAGAGCAGCAAAACGGGTGAAGGAGACCAGGGGGACATACAGAGGGAGGGAAGAAGCCAAAGCATCTTATCTACAGACAATATGATAATATAAATAAGTGACCCTAAAAATTCCACCAGGGATTCCTACAGCTGATAAACACTTTCAGCAAAATAGCAGTATACAAAATCAAAATAGCAGTATACAAAACTCAGTAGCTCTCCTATATACAAATGACAGACTGAGAAAGAACTCAGGGAAACAATTCTCACAATAGTCTCAGAAATAGTGAAATATATTGGTGTAACTCTAACCTAGAAAGTAAAAGGCTTGATTAATAAAAAAAAAAAATTGAAAACTGTAAAAGATAGATCTTCATGGGCCAGTAGGATTAATAAAACAAAAATGGCCACTCCAACAAAAGCAATCTACAGATTCAATGCAACCCCCATCAAAACCCAACACTATTAATCACAGAACTTGAAAGGATCATTTCAACTTCATACAGAAACACAAAATCCCCACGATAGCTAAAATCCTGAATAATAAAAGAACTGCTGGAGGTCTCACCATTCCTGATTTCAAATTGTACATCACAACTATAGTAATAGAAACGGCCTGGCAGAGGCACAAAAACAGACTATGCTGATCAGTGGGATTCAACTGAAGACCCAGAAATAAGTGCGCGCCTATGGATGCCTGATTTTTTTTTTATAAAGAAGCCAGAAGTACACACTGGGGAAGAAATACGGCATCTTCAACAAATGGTGCTGGTCAAACTGGATGACTGCACACAGAAGAATGCCAATAGATTCATACTTAACACCCTGCCCAAAGTCCAGCTGAACTGGACCAAGGATCTCAATGTAAGGCCACACACGCTGAATCTGTGAGAAGACAAAGTGAGGAATAGTCTGAACACACTGGCACAGGAGACAACATTCTCAACAGAACACCTGCAGTACCAGCACTAAAAACAGTGATTAATAAACAGACTTCATGAAACTGAAAAACTTCTATATGACAAAGGACACTATAGAGTGGGAAAAGATTGTTACCAACTCCACATGTGGTAGAGAGCCCTGTGTGTGTGTGTGTGTGTGTGTGTGTGTGTGCGCGTGTGTGTGTGTGTGCGTGTGTGTGTGCGTGCATATACGTATATGTATGTGTATACATATACGTATATTAGTGGGGAACAGATCTAAACAAAGAATTTTATTTGTGTGTATGTATTTATTTATTTATTGGTTTTTCTGAGACAGGGTTTCTCTGTGTAGCCCCAGCTGTCCTGAAAATCATTCTGTAGACCAGACTGGCATCAAACTCACAGAGATCTGTCTGCCTCTGCCTGCTACCACGGCCCAGCTGAACAGAATTCTCAACAGAGGAATCTTAAATGCTAAAAATCACTTAAGGAAATGTTCAACATCCTTAGTCATCAGGGAATACAAATCAAAACGACTTTGAGATTTCATCTTAGCACCTGTCAAATCCATAAAACAAATGACAGCTCATGCTGGTGAGTACGCAGTAAGGGGAACATGCATCCATTGTTGGTGAGAGTGCAGACCTATACACACTACGGAAATGAGTGTGGTGGTTCCTCGGGAAGCTGTGTATAGACCTATCTCAAGATCCAGCTATACCACTCTTGGGCATTTCACCTACTACCGAGACATTTACTCAATCATAGCCAGAATTGTAAACAGCCTAGATGTTCATCAATGGATAAATGGATAAAGAAAATGTAGTTCGTTTATACAATGGAGTATTACTCGGTGGGTAAAAAAATTAAATAAATAAAATCATGGAATTTATAAGTAAATGGATGAAACTAGAAAAAACAAAACAAAACATCATGAGTAAAGTAACCCAGATCATACAAAGTACCATCTGGTCAGAGGCCCCGGTCTGTGAGACAAATGTGGTATGTATTTGCTTATATGTGGATTTTAGCTTGTAAGTCTTCAATATGCAAGGTACAATCCATATAACCACAGAGGATGGACATAGAGTAAAGGACTGGGGTCAGGAAGAGGATGGGTCTCCCTAAGATAGAGAAATAGTTATGGATGGATGAGGGTGGGGGCGGCTGGAATGGGAAGATCAAATGGGGTGGAGGAAGAGAGTAGAAGGGACAGATAAAACTAAGAGCCATTTGGGGAGTCACATGGGAATTTAATGCTCTTTAAAATATACATGCATGAAGGTATAGTCAATAGTCAAATAACAGAGGAGATGGCGCCCCCAACTGGACATCTCTCATCACCAAATGAAGTTTCCAGTACGAGAAATTGGTTACATCGTATTGTGTTGTTGGCCAAAGGAGCCCCACTGGGAACCCCCAAACAATCCAGGTACTGGCAGAGCTATTGGTTGCTCTCCAAAAACTGACGGTGACGCACTATTGCTGAAGATAACACCTAAGGAACATGGAGAAGTCAAGCTGCTGCCTACCTAGAGCCTTCAACCCTACTCGCTAGTGTTCAGATTCCTGGAAAGTACTCTGCAGGCTGCCAGAGGAGAAAGGTAAACACCCACCCAGCTACAAACCCTCCAATATGCTATGCTGACCTGCCTGCAAGGTGTGCTAGTGCAATAGCAATGCAAAGCTTGTGGAAGTAACCAATCAACATGTGATCAGATTTAAGGCCCACCCCATGTATGGAACCTATCCCAACACTGCCTGGATTGCCAAGGACATGAGATCGGAAAGGCCAAGGACCTAGGAGAAAAACAAATACTACCACTGTTCTGCTAAAGGAATGAAACAATAAAATGAATCATCATCTGCCAGACTCACAGATCAGTGCCTTTCCATGGCCATCATCAGTGAAGCTTCCTCCTCTAGAAGATGGGAACAAATATAGACCCACAGCCAGATAATGTGCAGAGAGGTAGAGACCTTGGGACACTCAGTCCTAACTGGGTGTCCCCATCAAATCCCTCCCCTCAGGACTTAGGGAACCCTGCAGAACAGGAAGTGGAAAGATGGTAAGAGCCAGAGGGAATACAGAACACCAAGAAACCAAGGCCTTCTAAACGCAACAGGACCAAAGCACATATGAACTCACAGAGACTGTGGCAGCATGCACGGGGCCTCCAGGAGTCTGCACCAAATGAGAGCCCGGCCCTGAAACAAGTGGACACAAGCCCCTAGAAGCTATAGCCAACTGATGACCACTCAACGAAAAAGAGAGTAGTTTTCTCCAACACTCTCACTGGGTATACAAATCACTCTTAGGGGTAGGCCCCATGCCCAGCAGTAGATGGCCAACACAAGAGGAACTCAGTGGCATCTTTGGGGTTCTCTGTCTCATAATGTTTTGTCAGGGCATTTTTTAACGTTATAGGTCCTTTGCATACACATTATGGCTTCTGGTTTTGTTTCCATGGGAGTCCTGTGTGTATGAACAAGTGAGGCACTGCACACATGTGTTTCTTGTGCTTTATCTTCAGCTCTTTCTCTTGTTTGTATTTGTTTGGTCTGTTCTGGTTTATCTCATTTTATTATTCTTCTATCCATGCCTGTTTATTTTCCAAAGACAGACAGAAAGGATGTGGGTTCAGATGGAAGAGGAGGGCTGGGGAGGATCTCAGAGGAGCTAAGGGAGGTGAAACAATAATCAGAATATAT